GATGGGAAGACAGTGGCTGCCATGGATGTCCTCGTTCCAAAGGTAAATAAAGCTCTTTTTAAAGTTGAATTCTTTAATCATGGAAGAGTATACACATGAATGGTTTCTTTTCAATTAGGTTGGAGAACTCATTGGTGGAAGCCAAAGGGAAGAAAGGATAGACGTCATCATGGAAAGGTTGGGGAAAGTGAAACCACATTGTTCAATATTGGCTGTGTTTTTTTCGAACTCTTATCTTTGATTGTGTTTTTTGTGTTAACAGAATTGAGGAGATGGGACTACCAGTGGAGCCATACGAGTGGTACTTGGACTTGAGACGGTACGGAACAGCGAAGCATTCAGGATTCGGACTTGGATTCGAACGTATGGTTCTGTTTGCGACAGGAATGGACAACATCAGAGACGTTATTCCCTTCCCTCGCTATCCTGGAAGAGCTGATCTTTAAGTTTATTACTTTGCCCCCAAACTCATTTTTATGTTTTTTTTATAAAATCTTACATTATACAGGACGTTGCTTAGTGAATGATTTAGATATTTTACTTTGATATACGACACTGGTTTTGTTCGGTTATCTGCAGAAATTAAGTATCACGAACTGGATAATGTATTTACCGAATTAGATAACAAAGGCAAGGAGATGTGTAATGGAAGAGAGAGATGGAAATATTTCTGTGTATTGCCAAAGGAGAGGTTACATCGTTATATACAACTACGACGAGATAATATCTCAACTACACAATCTTAGCCAACAAGATACTAAGAATATACTTAACAACTAACAACTAAACCGAGTATATCGGGATATACTCCAACACCCTCCCTCAAGTTGGAGCACACAAGTCTAGTATGCCCAACTTGACTTTGAAGTCTTCGAACTCTTGTTTCCCCAAAGCTTTAGTAAAGATGTCCGCCAATTGTGCCTTACTCATGACGTGTGAGGTTGCAATAGTTCCAGCCGTAATCTCATCTCTAACAAAATGACAATCCAACTCTATATGTTTTGTTCTTTCATGAAAAACAGGATTGTTACTTATATGTAAAGCCGCCTTACTATCACATCGCAAACCCATCGGTTGATCATGTTGAACACCAAGAGCTTGTAGAATTCGTTTCAACCATATGAGCTCCTTTGTGAGGTATGCCATAGCCCGGTACTCCGCTTCTGCCGAGGACAAGCTCACCGTCTGTTGCTTCTTCGTTTTCCAAGAAATTGGGGAGCTGCCAAGTTGAACAAAGTAGCCTGTCGTGCTTCGTCTAGTAAGTGGACAGGATGCCCAATCGGAGTCTGTCCAGCCAGTGATCTGTAGATTGTCATCTGCTCTTAACAATATTCCCTGCCCCGGACTACCTTTGAGATATCGAACCACCCGTAACGCTGCATTCCAATGTTCTTCTCTGGGAGCTTGCATGAACTGAGATAGCACGTGTACTGAGTATGCTAAGTCGGGACGTGTAACTCCAAGATAGATTAATCTGCCAATCAACCGTCTGTACTTGGCAGGATCAAACATAAGTGGTGCTTCTGATAACGCCAACTTATGGTTTTGTTCAACAGGAAACAAAGCCGGCTTTGAGTTTAATAAACCAGTGTCCTCAATGATCTCTAGCGCATACTTTCGCTGACTCAAATACATCCCTGTCTTGCTTCTTGCAACTTCTATTCCCAAAAAATATTTCAAGAGACCCAGATCCTTCATCTTAAAACATGATGAGAGATATGTTTTGAAGAACTTAACCGCTTCTGGTTGATTGCCTGTAATTATCAGATCATCAACGTAGATCAAAATCTGTAACTGAGTTGTACCTTTGACGTAAGTGAACAATGAATAATCAGAACGGCACTGCTCAAAACCATAGCTCTTTAGTGCCGTCGTCAACTTCGCAAACCAGCAGCGTGGAGCTTGGCGAAGACCGTATAAAGATTTTCGAAGACGGCATACCTTCGTCGAATCTGTAGAGTGAAAACCAGGAGGTAACTTCATGTATACCTCCTCCGTAAGATCGCCGTGCAAGAAGGCGTTATGGACATCCATCTGATGAACATCCCAACCTCGCTTCGTCGCTACATCCAAGAACATTCGAACAGTTCTCATTTTTGCAACAGGAGCAAATGTCTCCTTGTAATCGACACCTTCGATTTGCTTGTTTCCAAGAACAACCAGCCGTGCCTTGAATCTCTCTATTGTTCCATCAGCACGATATTTAATCGTGTAGACCCACTTACATCCAATAGCGCGCTTGCCCGGAGGTAGATCAACGATGTCGTAAGTATGGCTCTCTTCTAGAGCTGTAACCTCTCTTCCCATCGCATCTCGAAACCGTTTGTCTTTAAAAGCTTCTTTGTATGTTCTCGGTGTAGTGATCTTGCTTGTCGATACCTGATAAGCTGTATGGCTTGAAGAAAATCGACCGAAGCTAAAACATTTGGAGATCGGATAAAGGGATTCAACGGTGCCTGACTTGCTCCGAAGGTTTCGGGTTTGAGCTGAATTCGTAACATAGTTCTTCAAAGTGACCGGTGGGATTCTCTTCCGAAGACCGCGTCCTAATTGAGGTTCGGGCGCCGGATCTTCGATTGCTTCAACAGGAGGCAGTGGTGGTGGCGATACTGGTGAAGTATTATGGGCCTGCCCAGTTTGAGGAATAGTATTCGGCCCAGTAGGTAATGGGCTTGCCACCATTGATGGCCCAGAAGATGTGTTTTCTCGTTGGAGAGGAACAAGAGCTTCATCGTCGTCTGAAGCTACAATCTCCGATAACGGTTCCCACAAGCGTTGTTGTGTCGTAGCCGTCGCGGTTGCAATATTAGATCGATACGGGAACTTGTCTTCACAAAAGACAACATCCCGAGATACCAAAAATTCTTGTTTCTCCAAGTCAAACAATTTCCAACCTTTCTTGCCATAGGGGTAACCTGTGAAAACGCAACGTTTGCTTCTTTCGGCGAACTTGTCTCCGGACGTTGACTGATTGTGAGCATAACACAAACTGCCAAACACGCGAATGTTCATTAAGAATGTTCATTATCCATTATCCAAGAAGGATTAGTAAACGTACCAGTCAAGTTATCAGACGTTGAGGTCTTGTTTGCGTTAAGAATGTTCATTATGTTCCTCCATTGAACATCAGTTAGACCTGTCACACCATCACGATCCTTGTCTGTGACGACATAGCTGGCCTGTTCTGTCTGTTGCGATGTTCCAGCCTGAGCAGCATACGCGTTGGATCCCCGTCCTCTTCCAGCAGTCGTAGAAGATGAGCCACCACGGGTTCTCCCTTGCGTCGAGCGTGCTCGTGGTCGATCACCCCACCACTCTGGATAGCCTATCACGGCAAAGCAATTATCGGAACTGTGTCCTGTACGGTTGCACAGCTTACAGAGCGCAGTCTTGGAGGCTTCATCACCACGGCCCTTCCCTTTGGATTGAACCGCAAAAGCTGTCACAGCCGGCGCCGAAGCTTCCTCCTCTAATTTGTGTGCAGCCCTTAAGTCCTCCTCTTGTCTTACAATGTTATACACTTCTTCCATTGCTTGGAGAGGTGTTCGAGAAACCAAGCTGGAGCGCACGGTTTGGTAATAGGCATCGTCAAGTCCATAGAGAAACTGATGCACCTTGTCTTCTTCACGGTCTTTCTCTTGGAGACTTCCAAGATCACAGGTGCAATTGCCACATTTGCACACACGAAGAGGTCGATGTGTCGCCATGTTGTCCCAAATACGATTGAGCTTACCAAAGTAGGATTCAATCGCAAGTCCTCTCTGCTTACAGCAAGCCAGTTCCGCTTTAATCTGTTGGATCCGTGGTCCGCTCAGCACCGAGAATCGTCGCTTCAGGTGTTCCCATAGATCTTGGGCAATATCTCTGTGTGATATTGTCGAACGCAGAGATGGTTCAATCGTCATCTTGATCCAAGACACGAGGAGCGCCTGGATCGTCCACCAATCTTCCAAGTCGGCAGATCCTTCTTCTGGTCTCTTGATAGTACCATCAAGGAACCCAAACTTCTTGCGAGAGCACAACGCCGTTTTGATCCCACATGCCCATTCATCATAGTTGGTTCCTTTGAGAAGGGGATGCGAGATTACGGCGCCAGGATTATCCTGAGAAGTCAAGTCATATGGAGAAATCTTTCTCCTCACTACCGTCGTTATCGGGTTCGTGACATTCACACCAGTAGGGGATGAATCATCTGACATTTTCAAATCGTTTCAATGTTTAGAGAGAAAAAAAAATTCAAGCTCTGATACCATGTAATGGAACAGAGAGAGATGGAAATATTTCTGTGTATTGCCAAAGGAGAGGTTACATCGTTATATACAACTACGACGAGATAATATCTCAACTACACAATCTTAGCCAACAAGATACTAAGAATATACTTAACAACTAACAACTAAACCGAGTATATCGGGATATACTCCAACAAGATGGTTCGCATCGCAGAACCTTGAATTATTTTTCTAATTAAGGTCACGTCAGTGCTATACAAAATCAAAGGACAGATTAAAACAAGAAGTCGATATGTCCGAGTGGTTAAGGAGATTGACTCGAAATCAATTGGGCTTTGCCCGCGCAGGTTCGAATCCTGCTGTCGACGTTTTTACCTTTTGTAAAGACCCGCTCTAAACCAGAGCTAGCATGATGAATGTCTTCGTTCGAAACTTATTTTCGACTCCTTCCGTTTTTGCTTCTTTACGGAACAGTGAAGCAGTTGTTGGCTCGGACATGTCCTTGAACGTATCTTGAGACTTGAATAACAAAAAAAACTCATTTCATTTCACGTTTATATGAATAACGAAACGAATGGTTCAATTGATTGCGTAAAGCCATAAACAATTCAGATCCACCTCGATGATTTCTAAGAACCATCTTAGAAATGAAAATCGAGTAGATAAAAGACATTCATAGCAAGGTCTAGAAAATGAGTCTTTCCAATAAACTGCATCTGTAAATTTTTGAATGAAAAAGACAACAAGAAATTAAAAGAAAAACACCAAAACTTGTCTAAGTAACAGACTAGTCTCTTCTCAATCCTCCTCATCGATGACCTTAGTGCCGAGTCCACTTAGTCCTTCAGCAGGGATTTCAGCAACAGTGACAAGTGAGAAAAACTCTTCCTTTGCGTCTTCATCGTCGTTTCTCTTACGCGCAACACGGACCCTGATCCTCCTTGGAGGACCTCTGATTCCTCTGCTCCAAATCTGCTTGTTCAACTTCACGTCTACTCTAACGTCCTTTGTCCCCATGGCTTTCTCTGCGAACTTCCTGATCTCCTTGATGGCCTTTGGTGCCTTCTTCTTGAAGGTGCTGTTAATAAAATTAAATACATATTAGCAGTGGACCTTAACTCTTATAACAAGGGTAACAATCAGCTCCATATATATACTACCTAGTCTTAAAAATGAAGTTCACATTTTTATTTCACAACCTTGCGTGTTTCGATAAATTTGATCCAACCATAACTAAGATTTAGTGTTCGTTTGATTTATTATGGTCAAGAAACACCAAAACAGCAATAAGAGCTGAAACCAGGATTGAACACATGGAATATTAAATCATAAAGCAAAAAGCAAGCCCCTAAGAAGCTCGCAACTACTACATTTCTCTATGAATATACTGAATTTCAAAAATATTCATTTTAAGCCCTAAACATATGGGACTTAACACACAGAAAGATATAATCGTGAGAGACTAGTTAAATAACCTACAATAAGCACAAGAAGCTTGCTACTATAATATGTCGGAAAGAGGCGTACATTTTCATTACAAAACCATGAAATTGAACAATTAAGCAGATAAAACAAGAACAGTTAATGTTTTTAAGAAAGCTAACCAGCTGTGGAGGCGTCTGTGGAGGTTGATGGTGTACTCTCTGGTCACCACTTCCTCTTTCCTTCCCTTTTTCTCAGACATCTTCTCTTTGTCTGTGTTGTACTTCAAACTCTTACCTAGCAATGACAACTTATAAGTAGATTCTCATGAAAGATATCAAAAAGATCTGTTCACTGCTGGATAATAACGATTCAAAGAACGTAGAGTTGAGGTAGAGATAGAGAGAGAGAGAGAGAGAGAGTACCTTTGCGGCTCGAAGAACGTAGACAGACAGAAAGGCGCCGAAGGAGGTGAAGTAAGCTTTATACATGCTACTACACTGAACTTAACCTAGATTACTTTTGGGCTTTACTGGGCTGTCTGCTTGTGCCATTAGCGTTGGCATTAAGCCCATTCAAGAGGCCCAATATACAAACTCAACCGCTACACTTGAGTTGACTACAGTAACACTTAAGTTATTTGATACCCTTGGTTTAAGCCGGTTCTGATTGCACTGAACCGAAAATTACGGGTATCAATGTAAATCGTGCTACTAATCTCATAACCAGACGAAACCGCTTAACCGGAACTACATTTGTTTACTCAAACCTCCGTAACAAACCGGTACAAAGCGAATACAAACAGATTGTCTTCTTACTCAACAAAAAAAAGCTTCTGCTAAATATCTCTCACAAAAGTGTTTTTATTCGAATCAGATTCTCACCTTCCTAGAGACTTTCTCAGCAACCAACTTGATCTCACGAATCCTTTCTTCAACCAATTGCTTCAACTGCTGCTCTTGATCCGGTTTGTTTTCCTCCACTTGAACATTGTTGCTATTATTACCTTCTTCTCCATTCACACACTTGAAAACCACAAACGACGCTTCAGCTTCAAACGTTGTCGGAACATCCACCACCTGTTTCTTTGGAGTCTCTATATCTTTTCCAAGAATGTCGGTTCTCACATGGTTCGTGATGACACACGTGTAATCCTCCATGTATTTGTCGACAGGATCAAGCGCGAGATATATCAAGATCTCCCAGCATTTGAGGAACTGTTTCTTGTTGATCTTCAGAGCTTCACGGACCTGCTCGATGGCATTCGAAGGTGGAGTGAATCGAGGTATCTGAGCTTTCTTCGATAGCTTGCCTTTTGTGAGAGTCTCAACAGCTGAGCTTATGGCTGGTTTGATTGGATCGAAAGCGAGCAAGCGGATTATGTCTATGCAAGTGCGGATGTGTTGGAACTTTTCGGATGGCTCTTCCACTGTCAGATCGTAAGCGTTTTCTGCTACGGCCATTTTGTTTACAACCTCCATGAGATAGCTTCCAAATCCTTTTCCTTGGAAGGAAGGTAGGACCAGGATCTGGAATCAAGAACCAAGAAGTGTCATATAGAAAAGAATGTAAGAAGAACTGAGATCATATATTATTATTACCTGGCTGAGTCGCATCCTTAACCTGTCGGGATAACGATAGAACTTATAAATAGCAGTAAAGCCCACAATTTGATACAAAGGCTGCTCTTCTTTGTCCTCTTTCTTTTGAATTAAGAGATATAAATGCCAGTCAGGGTCAGTGACATCAATGGGGTTGCTTCCTGATATAATGGACCAACGTCTGGTTAATATACTAACAAGAGAGACAATAAACATTCGAGATGCCATCAAAGAGCAAGGTGTGTGATTACCATCTACAAAAAGAAGCACAAGGGGAACCAATCGGCTATAGAGGAGTCCAGCATTTGGAGAATCAATCTCCATCCGTAAAACCTGAGGGAAATCGACAATTATATGTTCTTTCATAAACAAATTTGCAGTTTCCACTGCTGATAAAACCATCTCAAACTAATATGTTCCACTAATAATTATAAGATGAAACAAGTAGCGCAAAATTACCTGGAGATCTGAAGGAGTCACTTGAGCATTAATGCTGCTTCCATCTATTACTCCGGAATGTATTACCTCTCCGTTTGAGACCATATTTCTAAAACAAGTAATGACAAAGTTAAAAATTCAACGACTCCAAATTTATCTTAAGAATAGAGGTAGAAGTTCGAGAGAAAGCAGCAGTAGTTGCACCTGATAAAATCTCTTTCTGTCGAAAAAGTTTGCAGAAATTCATCCTTGCTATGAACAATTGTCTCAGCAAATATGTTCTGGGGTGGAGTGAAGTAGCCAATCATAAGAAAAATAGAAACAAAAAAAATGTTGAGTGAGGCATGAGATAAGATAAGACATAGAAGTTGATTAGTACCTGTAAACCAGACTTGAGGTCCGTAATGCCTTTGTCCCCCTTGAAACAACAAAAAATAATAGGAAATGATGTGGATTTCATCCTAATAGCCACTATTTTTATAAACAGTCCAATGGATTAAGACTTACATTGGTTGTGCTCTGGTACGTAATATCAGCATATGAATGAAATGAGATGCTATTGATCCACACATTGATCTAAAACAAATGAAACCAACATCAAACCTTCTTATATCAAAACCACAACAATGAGAAACCAAAAAACAAAAAAAAAACTTGGAAGAAAGAAAAGAAAAGTACCTTCAAACCTTGGTAACCATATATCTTCCCATCTCCATCAAAAAAATCGTTCAGGTCAACAGGAGCAACACATGATACATCAGGAGATCCAACTTCCTCCTTGCTCGAAACTACAAAATCAACCAAACCACCAAAAGGGAAAGTCAAAAATAATAATATCACAACAACCCCAAGAAAAACTCTCTACAGAGAATACTACTTATAACACTCATTGAGCACACACACATCTTCTCTACAACGTTCAACAACATTTTCATAGCTATCAATTATGTGTACTGAGTCACTGACACGTGGCAATCACACATACAATTCATCTCATGACGTTTTTTTAAAAATGAATTTCAACAACACATATGAACTGATTTCACCAAAGAGGGGAAAACAGGAACCCTAATTTCGTAATCGGATACGTACCGAGATAGATTTTGATGCACTCGTTAGCCTCCACGCCAGTATCTGTTAAGAACACAAACTTGCCAGATTAGAAGAAAAGGTACGAAGAGCGGAGCTTACGAGAAGTAAAACAACGGAAATGGAAATAGGAGAAGAAGTAACGGCTCACCGGCGGGGGAGAATCCGACGCGGCGACGCTTCTTAGGCTCGGAACCTGGGGCGGCGGCGGATGATTGATGCTTCTGAGACATGGGGGGAGTGTAAGGCGGGAAGAGAGTCAAGACAAAGGCGGGAAAAATTGGAGGGTTTAATGGAAATGTGGAGAGAGAGCGAGCGATGTTACTAAGCTTTTAGGGATTTTTATGTGTTAACTCTTCTCGAGAGAGAGAGAGAAGCAGCAGACGGAGAAATAGACTAGCATATGATCGATCCTATCAAAACAAATAACCAAAGCCCGTTAACGGCCCATAAATAGAAGCTAATTTTGTTTCAGTAAATATATATTGTGTAATTAAAACAACTGGGCGTTTGGTCTAGTGGTATGATTCTCGCTTTGGGTGCGAGAGGTCCCGAGTTCGATTCTCGGAACGCCCCTTCTTTTTTCTCTTTAATCCAAATCATTGTGTTTTTTTTTTAGATTAAAAAATATACCGTGTGGGAGAATTGCAGAATTATTCATAGCAACTAGCAAGAGATATGTATATTTGTTCTCACAATGTGGAAGCTAGACTGAAAGTCAAAATGGTGCCTAATTTTAGAAAAAGTCAACTTGTTCAAACTAGACTTGCTTTTTTTAAAAACAAAAAATCGATTCTGTTTAGTTCGGTTATACCAGATTTTTAGTTTCGATTACACTATCAGATTTGAATGTTAATACATTTAAGTTTGATTTTTATTCAAGTTTGATTTAAGGTGCTTTTTCAACTCCATTGTTCTCCTAAAAAATGATTTCTTTTAAAATTGAGAGTCCAAGTTAGTTTTTGTAATTGTAATAGTCGAACTGGTTTAATATTTAGTCAAAATAAAATAAAAATGTTTCTTTTTTTTGGGTATTTGACTGTTCAAGTGTCATGTTACCACCACCGTCGTCAATGGAGAAATCACCGCTAAAAATTTAAACAGAGAGAGAGAGAGAATAAACGAAGAAAAAAAAAACTAAAAATCGGTTAATTTTCCAGAGAAGTCTTAGGAGAGAGAGAAGGAATTTGCTTTTGTATATAAGCTAAAAAAAAGGCCAAAACATTTGAGAGGAGGAAGAGAAATAACAGAGCTCCGCTCCTCTTGTTATTATCCCCTGCGGTTAATAAGACGACGACGGAAACAGAGGAGCTTTTGTTGCCAATGGCTGAGTCAAACGTCTCTGTTTCCGTCGACGTTGGAACCATCTATCTCGGTGGCAAGGTTGGTTCATTCTTTTTACCTTCCTTTTTTTTCTTGAATTTGTTTCGGTTATTACTGCAAATTATTATGGTTTCTTCAAATCGGATCCGAATCATGCTTCTGGAGATTTGGAGAAATGTATGGTTATATTAGAGATTCAAATTGATTTACAGTAATAAATTTCATCTTCTTGATTGCCTATTTTACACATTTTGAGAATAGAAAGCTTCTATTAAAAAAAAACAATTATTGGAGAATTCTTTGCTTGTGGATTTGTGAAATTTCGTGTAGATTAGATTATTCTTGGGATCTTCTGCTCTACTCAAAAGATATCTTCTTTTGTACTATTCCTTATTCTTGTCTTATTGCCTTTTGATTCTTCTTCTTTTTTCTTATAATTAAATAAAAGAATACTCCAGCTGTTTTTGTCTACCTTTGACACTTTGTTTATTCAAAGATTTTAAGACTAATCCTTCTTTATTATGTCCTTAACACTCATTACTCTTCCATCTCTTTTACACTGTCATTCTCTTTTCTTTTTAATAAAATTTTTTTTTACAATGATTAGAATTAGGCCATCCTTTGGATGATGATGAAGTTTTGATTCTCTTCTTTTCCCCTTAAAAGTAGAAGGGCTTGCACATGGTAAACCTCTAACAGAGATTCTCATTTTGTGTTATTCATTATTGTGTTTTGTACTCATTAATTATTTCCCACCTAAAGTAAGTTGTCATATTCCTAGCTTTAGTATACAATTTGTTTACTGAAGATAAATAAACAAACACATGTAATAAAACTAAGGACAAGAAAATGGTAATGAGAGATGATGTTTAGTTAAAAAGTTTTCTGATGGTTTTCATGATGCATTGTGAGTGTTGCTTTTGTTTAAAAACTTACTGGTTTCTTGTGTTCAGGAGCATCGTGTGAAAACAGCATGTGGTGTTGTGTCCGTCATTGTCTATGGAGATCAAGAAAAGCCAGCATTGATTACTTATCCTGATCTGGCCCTTAACCGTAAGTCTTAAAGAATCTTTACAGCCACTAGTGTCTGTTTTGCTGATTTGTTGCTTCTTCTTTCAGATATGTCATGCTTCCAAGGATTGTTCTTTTGCCCTGAAGCAGCCTCCTTGCTGTTACATAACTTCTGTGTGTATCATATTAGTCCACCTGGCCATGAGGTCCATATTTTAGTTTCTCTTTTTAAGTGATTTAATTCACCATTTTCTTTGCTTGTGTGATTACTCACATGATTTCTTGCATTTTCCACCAAGAGTTCTTGCAGTTAGGAGCTGCTCCGATTTATCCTACTGATTCAGTCCCTTCTGCTGAAGATTTGGCTGATCAGATCCTTGAAGTTCTCAACTTCTTTGGGTAATGATTTTGAATGAAGCCCTTATTGAAGTTTATTACATACATGTTAACTTAATGACGCATAAGTTTTTTTTTGTTAAGCCTTGGTGCTGTGATGTGTATGGGAGTGACTGCAGGTGCTTACATCCTCACGTTATTCGCTGTAAGTTCCTGTTTTTTACCTTTACTCTTACTCACAGTCCTTTTGACATTGTGTTTTTTATCTTATCTGTTCTGTGTTTTAAAACTTTTCAGATGAAACATAGAGAAAGGGTTGCCGGTTTGATTCTTGTCTCACCACTATGCAAGGCACCGTCTTGGTCTGAATGGTTTTACAACAGAGTTGTCTCAAATTTGTTGTATTTTTACGGAATGTGTGGAGTGGTAAAGGAGTTTTTGCTTCAAAGATATTTTAGTAAGGTGCGTTAACTGCAGCTAGTAGCTACCATTGGTTGCACTACTAGTTCTTCTCTAATTAAAACTGGTTTTAAAAAAAAAAAAAATTGCTTCTACTTGTAACAGGAAGTCCGTGGTAACGTGGAGATTCCAGAGTCAGATATAGCACAAGCTTGCAGAAGAGTTAGTGTTCTACACTTTATCCCGATTCATAAATATATAGATCTCTCTGTATATCAAGTAATTGACATTGCTTTTGGTAATGTCCTCAGCTGCTCGATGAGAGGCAAAGTGTAAACGTCATGCGGTTTCTTGATGCCATTGATCGGTACGACAACAAAAAGACCTTTAAATCCTTTGTCTAAGCAGTAGCATTCATGGTGATAAATATTTAGCTTTCTTAATGCTGTTGCAGGAGACCTGACATATCAAGTGGACTTAAGAAACTAAAATGCAGGACACTTATATTTATAGGAGACCAATCTCCCTTCTATTCAGAAGCTGTTCACATGGCAGCAAATTTGGATAGAGGATACTGTGCATTGGTTGAGGTTTGAGAAACAAAATCCCTCAGCCTTTTTTTATTTACATAACAGAAACATCTTGGTTTGGTTTCTCGCTACTAATGATTGTTTACTTTCTTGGGATTTTTTTTCAGGTTCAGGCTTGTGGTTCGATGGTAACAGAGGAGCAACCACATGCAATGTTGGTCCCAATGGAATATTTCTTGATGGGTTATGGATTATATAGACCATCTTGTTTCACAGAGAGCCCTAGAAGCCCTCTTAGCCCTTCTTGCATCTCACCTGAGCTTCTCTCTCCTGAAAGCATGGGATTAAAGCTTAAGCCTATCAAAACCCGAATCTCTGCTTAAGTGTGTGTGTGCAACTTCTGATTCACTGGTCTAGTTTTGTAGATATAGAGCAAACACTAGGGAGATTTGAGGAGAAGACATTTGAAGCCATCCTTATATAACACATTCTTTTGTAGTCAGCCATGATACCTTTCTTGTTAAGAAGCCACAAATGTTGTTTCATTATTCATTTTCTAAGATGTAAAATGTTCTGGTGTTGTGACATTGTAACAATATTTTTTGTGATGGGACAAATGCAGAATATGTCATCCACTTCAATAATAAATTCATATTGTATATGGACCATTTCTCATTTTAGTTCTAATATTCTTCACCCTCAACTTAACTGAGAGCATCTAACTTTACCATTACAAGAATAATCAACAAATATAAAACTCATTACAAGAATTAATAACAATGATATTTTAACTGACTTAAGAAAAAATAAATCAAGTGTTAATGAATATATTAGTAAATAGTTTGCAGAAAGAGAAGAACTAAACATATGTACTTTCCAATCAGCAACAATTTAAGCCATCTTTCAAAATTATTTAGTATCTTCATGGTGAGTACTTGATGAATTTGTTGAAAAGATGCTTATTTAGCACTGAGCATTCCAATAGTCTACAAATCTCTCAGTAAAGACAGAGTTCATCACGTGTATCTCACACAAATCACGACAAGCTTGATTCACACAACACAACAAAAGCTCAGTAATAACTTCAAATAATGTAGTCTGACCACTCCGAGATAAACGAAGTGTGATCCATCGATTCTCCAGGACACTCCTCATCATGTATCGTCGGTTTCTCTTTCCCTCCGACGAGTCTCGCCGGATTCCCAACCGCCGTAGCTCGTGGAGGGATGTCGATCAGAACAACAGACCCAGCGCCCACTTTAGCTCCTGCTCCGATCTTGACGTTGCCAAGAATAGTCGCTCCAGCTCCGATCAAACAACCGTCACCGATCTTGGGATGTCTGTCTCCACAAGCTTTGCCTGTTCCACCGAGCGTCACGTGGTGGAGGATCGAAACGTTGTTTCCTATGACAGCTGTTTCTCCTATGACAACTCCGGTTGCGTGATCGAGAAGTATTCCTTTACCGATCTTGGCTGCTGGGTGGATATCGACGGCGAAGACCTCGGAGATACGTGAGTGAAGTGCTAAGGCTAGTGGCTTCCGTGTTTGAGTCCATAGCTTGTGCGAGATACGATGTGCCTAACCGAGTTTCAAAGGAAATCAAGTTAACCGGGTCAAATAAACCAAATTAAATTAATCGGATTGAATAAACCAAATTAGATTAACCAGATAAATAAACCAAACCAGATAAACAGACCAAACACGATTAACCAGATGGATAAACCAAATTAGCTTAACCAGATGGAATAAACCAAATCAGATCAACCAGATTGAATAAACCAAATTAGCTTACCAGATTAATAAACCAAATCAGATCAACCAGATTAATAAACCAAATCAGATTAACCAGATTAATAAACCAAATACGATTAACCAGATGGAATAAAGAAAATAAAATTAACCAGATTAAATAAACCAAATCAACTTAACCGAATAAACCAAACCGGAAGACGAAGATTCCCAAATCAAGCTAATTAAATTGAATAAACCAAATCAAGCTAATTAAACCAAATAAACCAAATCAAGTTATCCAAATTGAATAAACCAAAATCAAAACTAACTAAACCGGAAGATGAAAATTCCCACCTGAATAGCTAAGAACCCTTTGTAATTGAGAAGACAATGAGAAAAGGAGATACAAGCCGGATCACGAACACGAGCAGCACGCAGATCCGCCACGGTGGCGTTACGAAGAGAAGGATCAGAGGTGAACGTGTTCAAAAACAGATCATAAAGCAGCGTTGAGAGAAGCGTCGACGAGCACAGCTTGTTCCCCAAATGAAACGAGATCGATCGCTCGAGCGACGAGTGAGAAAGAATCGTCGAGTAAAGGTAGCTAGCTAACGCCGGCTCCGCCTCAGCGTCACGGCGAGCCTCCGCCTTGATCTGTGTCCATAATCCCGCAGCTTCCGCATCCGCCGCAGCTGCGGCAATCGCTGCCGCAGCAGCGACTGCTGATGCTTCGTCGGATTGAGTATCTTTTGACGGAGATGATTGTTGGAGTTCTCCGGCCGGCGGCATCTTGACGACGGCGATGATAACAATATGTCTCCGCGCGCCTACCTGTAAATGTCGTAATTTATCATCGTGCGGAATTTTTTAAAACCATAAATTAAAAGATAATGAGGGTCCACGTGGCATGTGATTAACGTGTATCTTGGAAAATAAATCAGATCCGTCGATTGTTCTATGGTTTTATACTCCGTTAGATTAGATTCATCCTTCTGAAAATCGACGGTTGTCATTTTGCCGACAGTTCTTACCAAACTTAATCGGTAAACAAACAAGTACAAAACCGGTTTGATACAAACAATTCCGGTTAGGTGATAGAGAGCTTAACATGAGCTGTGCTGTAGAGTAAAAAAGAACATCTCACGCACCTAACATCCTACTGGTAAAAGTTTTATTCCAGCTCGTGCGTTTGGAGCTATGTTTATGTGAAAATTACTGGAGTAATGTGGTTGTGAGTGTGAACCAACGTTGCCCTATAGACTACAAGTCCCTCAAGCTTGTGCTGGTACTTTCTTTCTTCATCAAATCAAAATTTTACAATCATCTTTGATTTTCGAGTATAAAGGATTGATGTATTTTAACCAGTTAGGCACAGTGCCATTTCTGATAAGAGGATCGTAAGGTTTTCTGGCTTCAGCCGAGTTGTGTTCATGGATTTTTGTTGTTACATCTCAAAACTTTTGATTGCATGGAGAGACTATAATAGCTTTGAAGAAGAGAATGAAGTGGCGAATATATATATATGATATATCGTAGTGGTTTATGTGTAAAAGATATATTTTTTTATTACTTAGGCATGTACATATCATGGGACTAGAATATCTTTCCTTCGCCTTTTGCTATAATCTACTTCTGAGTTTGCTGAAACATTTTCCTAATTTAAAATCTCTCAAGCTTCTCAAAGTAAGTTCACATATTCCCGTTTTTAGTAATCAGTTTCAATAACTTTTGAATTTATCTAATCCGATGCGTTTTAATGTTTCCTAAACACATCTCACAGTTAGGAGGAATCAAGTCAACTGTTTAATTAGTCTCTGTTCCTAAATGCTTGAGCTTCCATCTCGAGATTCTTTGGATTTGAAATCATAAGTTGAATCCGACTTTTCATAAAAATTATCATACTTCTCTCGGTTAGTCAAAAAGTATTATATTATCATTTGAGATTTCATACAACTTCTGATAAATATGATTCTAAAAAAATATCAGAAGCTATGATAGGTTTCTAGTTTTTAGTCCCATTGCTCTGATCATCTTACTCCCAACTAGAAGAAAAACATTAAGTTTGTAGGATATGCCTAATTTGGTGGAGGCTGTTAATCCTTGTCAAACTAAAGATTTTCTCAGATTTCTTACTCCACTCGAGTTTCTTTGGATACATTATTATGCTAAGGAGGTAATTAACATCCGTTCCACTCTCCTAGAGATCACAATATTTCACTTTGAATGATTATCAGGTTGTTTACTCTGCCATCAGATTCCCAAATAACCTCAATGTTTTCAAAACACTCCTTGTCTTGAAACTCCAAGGGCAGATTGTTCTCGACGCTATAGATTCTCCTGTTTGTCGCGCGGGAAGAATCTTCCACAAGACTTTTGTCGGCTTGTCATGTTCTTAAAGATCTATTTCTCGAAATTTTTTGTGATGTTAGATCTTGTTTTTTGTTCATTATATCATCCCCGTCTCTAGAGAGGTTATCCATTGATACATCATATTCCTATTATGGTTTAGATGATCATAATAGGAATATCTTCATGAAGTACAAAAAGATCTTCGATCGCAGAGGTTATTATAACTTTCTTGAGGATATGCCTAAGCTGGTGGAGGCAAATATTTCCATTCGTGAGCCAAAAATCGAAGCTCATGAAAATTCTTACTTCACTTGAGCATCTCTCCTTAACTTTGTACCCTTCAATGGTATAACGCTTGAAACCTTTCTTTCCACGCAACCTAGGTTTTTGTTTTTCTTTGCACATAACATATGATTTTGTTTCTTGCGTGCAGAGTTTACATCTTAAGGGTACATTAATATCCAAACGGATTCTTCATCTGGAACTATGTATTTACGACACAAATTAATTGAGTCTGCTCATGCATTTGCTTGAAGGTTTTCCTAAGCTACGGTCTCTCAAGCTCACCAAGGTTTGAGTTTCTCCTCGTAGATTGTTGTCCGCTCGAAAAAACATAATATGTTTCAAGAGAGTTAAGTTAAATGCTTTTACGTTTCTCAGGTATCTTGGCTTCCTAAGAGAGATATTGAGGATCAACCGAGCTCTGTTCCTGAATGCTTGAGTTTCCATCTTGAAACTATTGAGTGGATAGGTTATGATAATGAAGGGACACTGGAAGATAAAGAAGTCGCCACTTACATTCTAAAAAACGCCCACTGTTTGAAGACTGCTACGATCTCTATACATTCAAGGGACCCGGTGAATCGAATGCTGATAGTAAACGATTTGTTATCTATGACTAAAGCTTCAGCCTCATGTCAACTTGTAATCTAGTATTTGAATTTTTTTTCAAGAAATCTATTTTGGATTTCAATCTTTTTAAGATGAGATGAATGTTCTACTTCTTTTGGTTAGTGAATTATTAGCATTTTAAATTTATATATGAGGTTTGAAAAAGAGGAGTTCGTGTTTAATATATTCAGATTACACATACTATATGCAATGAAAACAATGCCGTATATATTTGATTGACTAGGTGATTCTCCGGGAATAAATACTTATAAAATAATTAAATCATAATAATTTTTAAACATTTACATATGTTATTTATAACTTTCAAGTAATTTTCTAACTTATATTTATGATAAAAAAGGAAATTGCATTAGGTATCATTATATGGATATAAATATCTATACATTTGTTGTGTTCAAAAAAAATTATCTATACATTTGCTCATAACTTTTAAGTTATTTTAATTTATATCATGAAAATAATATTAACTATTATTATGTTCTCATGTTAATTAGATATGTAATTTTATGTATAGTAATTTGGATCATTTTATGTATGGTCTCACTATTTGGGTTCAAAAGAAACAACAATTTTTTAATTAGGTTAACATTAAATTTTTATTTTTATTTCCATTTAGTTTGGTTCATTCTCTTAGATTTGTAAATATATTAATACAACTTTTTATAGTTTGATATATTTTTTGAGAGAGAAAAAGGAATATAAAGCTAATAAATACTTCTAATAATTTAAAACTTTTGATTCAAAATAATTTATGGTTGATAGAGCTAATGAAGCTTACTATTATTCGTGAGTTACTTTCGTTTGGGGTTCTGAGTGGTTGGAGAAGACTTTGTGTGCTAAGGAAGTCATCCCATTAGTTTAAGGTATGAAATTGAAATTTTAATAGATATGTTCGCATAAGAAACTTACCCATAAGTCGTCTAGCTGTAGAAGATTTACATGTAAGTCTTCTGGTCAAACAGACGACTTAATTGTAAGGCGTTCAGCTTTGTTTGTTAAAGAAAAACCTCTATAAGTCGTCTAGGATAAACGAGTTAGTTTTGCATTTGACCGACTTGTGTCATATATTTGACTTTTTCTGGACGACTTAATAGTAAGTCGTCTCTGGGAAAATAAAAATTTCAATATTGAATTAAAGCTAGACGACTTATAGATAAGTCGTCTCAGGTTAGTTTGAAATTTGAAAATAAACTTAAATATTTTACTTTTCCCAGATGACTTACTTGAAAATTGTCCAGTTTGACAACTTACGAGAAAGTCGTCCGAAATAAGCAAGGTTTGACCAGAATCTCGGAAAAAAAATCTGGACGACTTTGCCTATCTTAGAAGACTTTCAAGTAAGTCGTCCGACGTGTAAGTCGTTTGGGAGAAGTAAAATATTTAAGTTTTATTTTCCAATTGCAAAACTAATCTGAAACGACTTACAGATAATTCGTCTAGCTTTAATAAAATATTGAAATTTTTGTTTTCCAATAGACGATTTACTGGTAAGTTGTCCAGGAAAAGTCAAATATCTCACACAAGTCGGTCAAATGAAAAACTAACCAGTTTATCATAGACGACTTAATAGTAAGTCATCTAGAAGTTTTTTTCTAACAAAAAAAGCTGAACGACTTACAATTAAGTCGTCTGTTTGACCAGAACACTTACTTGTAAGTCTTCTGCAGCTAGACAACTTACGAGTAAGTCTTTTACGCGAATAGATCTGTTAAAAATTTCAATTTCATACCTTAAACTAGTGGGATGACTTCCTTAGCACACAAAGTCTTCTCCAACCACCCAGAGCCTCAAACGAAAGTAACCCACGTAGAATAGTAAGCTTCAATGACCCTATCAACCATAAAAAATTTTGAATCAAAAGTTTGAGTTTTTTGGATGAATATGGAGATAAAGTGAAAGAGATGTTGTTTTTAGTTCATAACAATTGAGAAAAAGTGAGTGTAAATCGATTTTAGCTGCTTTAAGAGTTTTAAATTGGTTGTTCATGGTAGTTAGGGTATTGATGGCAATGGCAATCTTGTAGATACTTAAAAATGATGAGGTTGAGAGAGTAAAAAAACAATTTTTGAAAAAAAAATTAAGTGCATTTTCGTAAATACTTTGAACAGTTGGGTGAATAGGACAAAATAAAAATAAAAATAAAGATTAGTTTTGTATTTGACTTTTTGAGTTTTGAGTCAAATTTGCAAAAGTCCCTACACAATCAGTATATTTTATAGATATTTCCTTTTATTATATATGGTTTTATTAAATAAATAAACTATAATTAAAAAGATAATTTAAACTTTATTAATTAAAAGGAAAGTAAACCATATTTGGTAATGGTAATTGGGTATAACTAAAATTAATTCATTAAAGGTATTCATGTAATTAACTATCATGAAAATCAACGTGAACGGGACACATAAAAAACTGATTTCTCAAATAATATTATAGAGATAAACATTTTAACATGTCAGTTAAATTACTAGATAGTTACAATACATGTCATTCATTAACTTATCCACCTAAACATATACTATACTTCTCATTAAACTAATAAATAAAATTAATTAGTAATTTACAAAATATGCTTTTTTTCTTTAAATAAAACTACATAATTAACTAATGTGATTAACATATATATGATAATTAATTATTTTGAATAATACAGATTTTGATAAGAAATTGTATGTGTC